GTATCGCGTTTATTATGTCAGGTCCTGGCATCGATTCAAGGAAGTAGTTATTAAAACAGCCAGTAATTTTTATCGCCCCGCTAAATAAATTCGTGATTACCTTTAACTCTGTCTTAATAAGTTTCTCATCCATTCGAAAAAAAATTTATTCTAATGTTATTTACGTTGGAAAAATAAGATCGTTCCAAAAGTAACTATTACACAGTTTAGTATATTTTAAAATTACACATTCAGTCCGGTGGATTTATCTTCGATTGCGATGTTTAAATATTTGGTCGTGTAGCGACTTCACGAAATGTATATTTTAAAAGGTAGAAACGGAAAATGTGTTTTACTTGAAAGGTTCGATGGACGTGTGTACGAAGTTAAAAGAGTTTTCTACATTTGCTCATGTGTAAATATCACGAATGTATTCTATAATATATATATAATATATACAATAAAATGTCTGAATAACTTTCGTAGATTTGAAAAAATTAATACGAGAATATTAATTATGCAATTTAAAAAAATATGTATACCATATAAATTATCTTTTCTTTACTGTTATCTTTATAGATTGTTATTTTTGATATCTTTAACGAAATATATATATATTGTCAAAAAGTCATTTAAAAAAAAGTTTTTAAATGAAACTTTTAATATTATAATTAATATATTACTTTTTCTATTTTTCACACTTGAAATAATATAAAAATAATATTCATAATTTTTTTTTCAAATCCACTATAGCTGTTCAGTCATTCTGTTTTCTTTGTGGTAGACCATTTTATGTAATTATATAATTATATTTAATTATGTAGTTAACTCTTTATAAAAGCTATTTGTATTTATAATTAAAATGTAAAGCTTTTGCCAATAAATCTATTTAGATATAAACGCGCGATAGATTTTTCTTAATAAAAATATCGCAACATGGTGCAATTATATTAAGTTAAAATAAAAAGTGCAATATGTACTCTGCGGTTACGTGTAACCTCAATAACAGTTTTATATGTATTATTTATCAAAGTATATATATAATAATATGAAAAGAAAAAAATTCTTGTGACAACAGATTATTTTCCAACTCGTTATTTTGTTAATAACAAAACTTTCAATGTATGTACATAGATACACATCTGGTCATCGATCTACAATTATAGGTAATTCAGATTTGTTCTACTTTTGATCTGAATTGAATAATAACTATGTAGTTAATAAAGTAAATAAAATGTTAAAAAGTTAATAACTTTTGATTTAATTTGATTAATTTTAAATAAATTTGTTTTCAACTTAATTTAGTTACTTTTAGACTTTAATTTATTAACCTTTCTTTTAAGTTATAAAGTTTTTTATCTCTCTAAATGCCGAATACTGTTTTCTATAAAATCAAACAGTAGAGAAATAGTTTAGAAAAAACTAAATGATTGTATGAGAGACCAAAGTTAAACGCGAGATACATTTGATACTATACCTTATTATGTTATTATTAAACAATAAACGATAAAGAAAAGAATAAAAACTTTCTATTTATCTACCATATATATAATTTTTAAAGAACATACAAGCATGATCAGCACAAAATGAGAAATACAAGATCACTTATACTTTAAAAATAACATTTTACTTTTCTTTTATTATATAATATATAAATATGAAAAGAGAGATCCACATATAAAAATACTAAAAATTAGTTTTTTATTGATCAAGAAGTATATTTGTTATTTTATATAATTTAAAAATAAAATATTAAATTTATCTGATTTATTTATTGTAACTTCTATTATTTAAAATGTATTTAAAGTAATCTGATTTTAAGAAAATTCGGACATTCTAATTTAATAACAATAATGTTTTTCAAAATTAACTTTTTATTTGACTTAAGTTAATTTAATCTTAACATAAATTAAACTAAGTTAGTTTTTTTTATCACATTTACCTTTTAAATTATGTAACTAAATTTAGTTACAAAACATTAACTTATTTAGCTCTGCTTTTAATATACAAATAATTTTAATTAATTGTATTTTTAGTATAAAATTGATCACTTTTAACAATAAAATTATACAACCGACAAACGCGAGAGCTGTTACTTAACTCGAAATTACATTTATTTCGTTGAATAGTAATTACCTGTAATTTCCAAATAAAGTACTAACAAAATCTGAACAAACTATACATCTAATTTTGCATTAAACCATGTTTAACTTTGAGCAAACGTCTATCATTCACACACAATCATTCAGCTTTTCCTAAATTAATTCTCTATCGTTTAAAATTGTATAGAAAGTAATATTGATATTTAAAAAAATAAAAAAACACTAACTTAAAAAAAATTACGTCTCTGCAAATTTATACTTACATATATTCAAGTACTTTCTCCAAACAATTAAATGTTTTCAATTATATAAGAATATGTCTCACACAAAAATATTTCGGCACTAATTGAGAATAATAGCACAAAAAATGTTTAAATATCTGTCCGTTGATTTGAAATCCTCTTTCTCATTAAATATTGTATAATCTATGCAATACTTTGTAGATTCAGTTCTATCGCTTTCAATTCTATAATATGTTTCTTGGTCGTGATTATTCCCCGTCCGCAATATACATCTGGTAGTACAATTATAAACTACATATTATTTTGTGCGTCGTTAACAGTAGTTCTCATGGTGAATAATTAATTTGCATGCTGTGTAGGTAATGCACAATACGAATAATAAAATCTTGAAATAAAATTAACGCGTGGCGCGTAATGCATATTCATTGGATGTAAGTAATATTCTTACTCTACGCGCGACTATCATGCTGTAAATTAACTGATTTGACTGCTGCTCTGAGTTTTACACAGTTTCGAGCGGAATGATGTCACCGGAAAATTGCGCAGCGCGCACAAGAACAAGCCAAGCAATTGAAAAATTCGCGCGCGCTTTCTCCGTGCTCCCATTGAGAGAACGAGCAAAAATCTTTATCCGCTATGGCCGCGATTGCGCTACTTTTACAGCAACACGAATGAAAAATGTTAATTGACTATTTCGGCAATTGTCACGTAGCGTAATTTCATAAGACATTGAGGTCATAGTTGCATGTTTCAGAAAATACCAAAAGAAAACGTAACTCTTAACTACAATTAAATTTTGTATCTAAAAGAAATAAGATACACATTTTTTTAGAATTATAAATAGAAATATTAATATTTTCTTTATACACTCTCTTCTCTTCGTCTGCAATCATACTTTTAGTAATTTTTACTCCCTCTATTTGCAATCTATATCTTTCTTACCCAGCTCAAGTTTTATTATTGTCCACAACTTTTAAAAAAAGTGGAAAAATTAAGGATTATTAATTAACATTTTTACAACGCTACAAAATATCTTTAACACAAATATTAAAATCTTTATTTAATAAAAATGAAAATTTAAACAAAAATTAGGAGAAAATAGAAAATTATTTAAAAAATGTATAACTTAGAAATAACGAAACTCTGTCATTCTTAATTGCACAAAAATGTACTTGTGTCAAAAATTCTTAGATTGTAAATCGAGGAAGTAACTTTTACAATTTTTTAATTTAAAATTGAATTCATATACACAAAAAAGTTTTAGTAGAATATAAATATAATCAGTAGTACAATTTTAATGTGGATTAAATACAATTCTCCTATATTCCTAAAATATTTTCTCAGTTTTTAATTAATATTAAAAATTAATATTAAATTAATATCAAAAATTATATATAATTAATATTTAATTAATTTTAACAAAAAATTAATATTAGTATCTACATATTATTACATTAATTAAATGAACATTTATATTTGAATTAATTTTCATTATGTCAATGATTTCAAAAATATATTTCACTTCTCATTATAGCCTTCATTTCAAAATTTAGCCTTTGTCATAGATGTTATTTCTCAAATGTGCGAAAGAGAAAATAATTAGCCATTTCAATCAAAAGTTATTGACAAGCTCCTGAATAATTTTGCTCGTAACTCATCGCCTTCATAAAAGATATTGTTGTTAATTATGACAGTAAAGGTAGTATTTGACATACAATCTCATTGTTTACATTCTATCAATGTCACATACAAGCCAGATGGAAAGCAAAGAAGAAAACAAAAGAGAAAGAGAAAGAAATCAAATTCTCATTTAATATTATAGTACTATTACCCAACTATATTTAAAGAATTATTTAACAATCCCTGGCGAAAATTTTTAGTGAAACATTGTGTTTATATCTGTTTAGGTAACGTTTTATCGATGGTTGTATTGTTTATATGAAGAGTTTTATTGATATTTTGAAGCACTATTTTCAAAGCGTAATTTTTCAAAACACAAACATGAACATCTCTTAAACAATTCCATGTTTAAATTTCCATTTCATAAATAACTCATAAATACTTTAAAACTCAAATGAACCATTTACTCAACATTTAAGCAAGCTTCTTATAAACTTTTAATAAACATATTATTTTCGCCAGGGATTGAAGATTTTGTAACTTTTATTTTTTATTCAACCATTTCAAATCAAACAAACCTTTTATAAAAATTAATTGTTTTAATGTATTTGTTTTTTTTCATGAAAAGTTATCATTTTAAAAAGCATACTTTTAAAAATTTATATCTAAATTTCTCATTTATCTTTAAATGTTCATGAAAAGCTAATGGATCAAGTAGAAACAGACGTAAAAATTAGTACATATTACATTATACATTTATTATTTCCAAACCATTGCTTTCCCGGTCGTAAAATCGCGACGCCAATTCGTGTCTGGCAGTGACGAACATCGGGGTCGTACCGTGGCGTTGTTTCAAAGAATTATTATCATTTCTACGACCCAACTGGTCGCACCTCTTACTGTGTGCGGTATTGGGGACCAACCGCAGGGTATGACAAACGAATTAATGGTTAAAAAGGATCGTTTTTGCCTATCCGGGGGTGGCCACCGCTATAAAACGATTCCGTTCCTTTCGGGCCGGAGGTAGTCCATTGGCGGTTTTCGTTAAGGAAGAAACATGGCCTTTGTGAAGGTAAACTAAAGTCGATAGCGCGGTATTCGATATCGTAAATTGATACGCCGCGGGACCGTAGGCAATGCAGCAGAGAATATTACTGAGGCGCTTTGGAACGGAAATTCGTGTTGTAATAGGTCGGACGAAGGCATGCACACGTCGCTTATAATTACGTATTCTTGCGAACAAAATTGTGGAAGGTGTTGCATCTTTTGTGAGCGCGTTACGCCGCTGACGTCGGAATAATTGCGCATCCCGGAAAGTATTAGTGTGGAAAGCGTTACAATGCAAGCCAGTTGTGCTGGGCGAGAAGTAATTTTTAGTTCACACATACACACATAATACGCGACCATTATGTAGCGATTATATAACGATTAAAACAAAAACACAATTTTGCCGATATAAATGTTGGAGTGTGTTATAAAAATCTCGATTGCGCTGCATTATTAATTATAATATTTAAATGAGAATTATATTAAAATTTTGCAAGTAGTAAGGTAAACGTTCCGATGACCGGACATGTATCTATGGCCGGTATTCATAGTCAGTTCTTATATTCAAGACCGTCTTAAGTTCAGTCTTGAGGAGTTACGAACCAATCAGAGGGCCGCTTTATTAGCATCTTAAGACATTATACCTAAGACAGTCTTGAAATAAGAACCGAATATGAATACCGGCCTATATCTGGATACTTTCACAAAATTTATTATTAATCTCAAAAATAATTGTTTTATTACAATATTATAATTTAATTATATTTAAAGATTACACAATTAAATTATAATATTATATATATAAAAAAAACATTTAAAATAAATAATATAAATAATATAAACAAATAAAATTTTGTGTAAATGTCTGAATATATGATAAGTAAATGTCTGGGCACTGGGATGTTTACCTTAATTATAATATTACATGATAGAAATTGTAAGAAATATAACGTTAACGTTAATTAAGCAATTATTAATTCGGAATAATGTAAATAAGATTTAGAAAATTTTATGTTACAACACTGTCGCATTATTTCAAAATCAAGTCGCAAAACATTTTACTATAATTAAGATAACAAGATATTATTAATTAAAGTTATCAGTGTCTTTGTCTTTGCACAGCAATAATTTCTTTTGAGATTAAAATATACCGTCCAATAAGAACTTAAGAAGGTATCGTTATATAATACCCTTTTTAGTGAGAAAAGGCTACATACTATCCATCTTCATAAAACGTTATAATAAAGCCTTATAACGAAGACTTATCGATCTTTCGCTCCAGCTTACGCACAGCATATATTTCTTTCCTTTTTATTTTATGGATTGAATATTGGAAAGAGTATTAATCGTATTAAGGTAAAAGCAAGAGATCAATTAGAGATTAATATACTACAATTTGAAGCAATATTATAAATGTAACAGAATATCGAAAAAGAGAAGATGTTCAACACTCCAAAAAAGATTTTAATAAAACTACTTATTTCAAGTGAAGCTAGAAATTTCCTGAACGGCGTATTTATCGCGAAGGGATCCAAACTCTCTCTCTCTCTCTCTCTCTCTCTCTTATCCAATTTACGGAAAGTGGACGGATATTAACCTTTCATGATCCGCTCGAGCAAAGAACTACAACGTATAACGTGAAGAATAACACGAAGGGCACAGCACTTTACCTGGCCGCAGGCAAAGACGCGATCCCGATCTTAAACTTCGGATGATCGATCCAATTTCAAGTTTCTCCGATCTCATCGATCCGCTGGGCGGAATATCGTAGCTTCCATAAAACGAATCGCCCGCGCCGAAGTCCAGGCCGCGCTGAACAAAGTATCACACAGTCGTGACCGTAAACTAGCGAGCGCGGAGTGTTTCGGAGGTCTTTATGTGGGCGGTAAAAGCGTCTCAGTGAGTCCGTTCTGGCACACATATTCGGAAACGGAAGAATAATGGCAGGGTTCTTTTTCGGTAATTTTCTACTACACCACCACCACCACTACCACCACCACCACCACCACCACCACCACCACCACTACCATCACCATCACTATCACACATCGCATCGTTGGTCAGTGCAATGAAAATGAATTTTGCTTCCTGCGTTCAGTTTCTTCCTCTCTCTTTCACCCTTTCGCTACCCTCTCTTTCCTCCTCTCTCTTCCTCGATTAGATTTAAGAGATTAACTTTTCCAATTATTCGCGGCCACCAATTTACCTTTAACAGCGAACAGTACTTCACGGGTGGCGTTGTCGGCCGCTTACACGACGCTCGAATGTCCCTCCTCGCTTTGCAGGAATTGATTGTCTGCGTCGTCTTCGTCGCTGTCGTTGTTAAGAGCTTCCCCAGAATGTACGAGGGAAATACGGTAGGTGAGTGTCTCTCGCTTAATTCATAAAATCGGTCACTCGAGAAGGTAATTACGCGCATTATCGATCCGCGCATGTTCATCTTGATTACTCTCGCATAAACTGCGGCTTAAATTAGGCATAAAGTTTGTTAAAATTATAACGTTCGCATTGATTATTAAAAAAATCTGAGAATATAATGTTCTATGAAACACAATCGATAGAGGAAGACAATGGCGAGGGACAGACTGCAGATATAGATCGGAATGGACACGGGGGTCATGATCACGCGTACTCGTATCATCATTTTGTCGGGCCAGTGACAGGCCATCATGAAGAGATAACCTGGAAAGATAAACACGGACACCATCATCATGACTACAAGGCTCATCCAAAGTATAAATATTCCTACGGCATAGATGATCATCATACTAAAGATCATCACGGACAGAAGGAACACCGTGACGGTGAGTATACATACAGTAACCTTCGATAATCCCTAAGGCGCTTTAGCGCTTAATAACTTTTATATTATATTAATATTTATCGCGCGTTATCTCGGTACGCCGAATAAGAATAACAGCTGCTTCTTGAGAATGTGTTATATGTATTTTTTTTAACAAAAAAATGTAAAGAATGTAAAAAAAAATTACAGATTTTTCTATATTGCATTTTAAGTAATACAATAAATTTAGCAGTTTAGAACCTAAACCTAACTATATTAAAAAATAATAATAATTAAAATAAAATAAAAAAATTTGTATTTAAATTAAAAATTGTTAAATATGAATATTTTTGGACCTTATTAAATTGTTATATACGCAATACCTAACATTCGTCTTTATTAAGAATAAATCTAATTTGAGTGACTATTGCAGGATACATTAAATGAAAATCTTTGTATCTGTTAAATAAAGATTGATATTGAGAATGTCAATTTGAAAATTAATTTTTAATTAAAAGTTAACTTTTTTTTCTTCTAATATCTCGCATTTGTAGCATTAATGTCTCTTATATATTGGCAAAGTCCATATATAGCAGCCCTAGATGTATCGCAATATACTGATCCAGAGCCAGCGAGGCAGTGAAATGTAATTCGATCTCGCTCTCTTAATTAGAATCTCGAAGTAATTGGATACCTGCTCTTAATTAGAACCTAGAAAGGACCAGGTTTGTTTCTTACTCCGGTGCGTTACGGCCCGTTGTAGATACATCCGTCACTTTTCTGGTGCGCTTCCCACAAAAACGTGAGAGCCCCTCCGCGCTCGTTGGTATTCGGCGTGCGCCTGTTAAATTTAATTGTGACTGATACGAGAGAGAGCATAGAAGTTTATTACGCATTCGTTGGGAAGCCCTCTGGCAAAGCTGGCGAATGAAATGCACAGAGCTTACGGGAAAGCTGTTCCGATACAGCGTACCTGGAAAACGTGTAACTGCATGCGTAAACGCGAATTTAATTGGAACGTATGGAGAGAGACACGAGTTTCTATTATATCTTCATTCAGTCTAAATACCATTCTTATCTCAGCTTCGCGTGTAGTACGAGTAACACTCCTTAATTACTTCAGTAAATATCGCAAATAGCATCGTAACTCCCTTCAAGACATGTTTTCACTTTCTCATTGTCGTGGAAAAACTACTTAAACATTTTTAATTAATTAAAAAAATGTTTTATATTTTTTCCTCTCTATGCAATTTTATTTAAAACACTTACGGATAATTCTATAATACTATTTCCTTATATATATATATATATATAT